TAATAAAAGTTGAGGAATTTGAGTGAATTTGGGGTATTACCCCAGGAGTAATGACATATGAAATGTAAGTATATGTAATAAAAGTTGGGCAATTTGGGTGAATTTGGGATTTTTGCCCTAGGTTAATGGCTTTCAAAATTAACTGTTTGTTATAACCGTTGAGAAATGGTTTTTCTGTTTTATACAGCTTTTTTGTCTTTGTTGATTTTCGGCAGTTTATTGCATGGAGGAGACACCTTGATTTAAATGCTGTTTCGGCATGGGGAGGTTTGTAGTGTTGTTTTCTAATGCCATTGTTATTTATATTATTAGGGGTGTGGGTGTGTGGGTGAGGGTGTGTGGGTGTGGGTGTGTGGGTGTGGGTGTGTAGGTGTGGTGTGTCGTGTGTGTGTGGTGCGGGGTGTGGTGCGTGTCAGATGGCTGTGGGGTGTGGGTGTGGGCGTAGGTCTCAATGTGTTACTTCATTTATTGTACACCCACACCCACTCCTACATCCACACCCACCCACACCCACACCCCACACCCACGCACTCACACACTCACACCGACACCCACACCCGCACCCACACCCACGCCAACCCCACCCCCACACCCACGCTACCGACACATCCACACCCACACCCATCCCACCCACACCCAGACCCACACACCCACACCCACACCCACCCACACACCCACACCCACCCACACACCCACACTCACACCCACCCACACCCTCGTTACACCAAATTCACTCAAATTCCTCAACTTGGGACATACATAGTTTATTTCTAGGGTAATGAGGTCGTTACACCAAATTTACTCAAATTCCTCAACTTTGAACATACATAGTTTGTTTGTAGGGTAACGAGGTCGTTACACCAAATTCACTCAAATTCCTCAACTTTGAATATACATAGTTTATTTTTGGCGTAATGAGGTCGTTACACCAAATTCACTCAAATTCCTCAACTTTAAACATACATAGTTTATTTGTAGGGTAATGAGGTCGTTACTCCTCTCTGTAGGGTATTCTGACGTTTAGCTCTCGATACCCAGTGTAATGGTATTATGACATCTATGGAAGAAATCGGATATGATGAAATGCAACAGCAACAAACAGGGTATCCGATAACCAAAAAGTAAGAGATCATACAATCCACTCAACACAAGTAAGTCGTTTTATACAGAACCCAAGAAGATGATCATATGTCACTGCGAAAAATTAAGTGTTTTCGATAGCACGCGGTCAAATGATTCCCACAAACCTGCTGTCAGGACACAGTTGCAACCAATGTATTAATTTACGTTGAGAAACGGAAAAGTGAAACTGACTTGCGAAAAATGGCCAAAATCACGTAAGAATTGCCGAAAATTGAAAAAGCGCAAGAAAAACTTTCTCACATGCGCAGCCATCCGAAAAAAAGGAACAAAACGCAAAAAGGACATTTAATGAATTTTGATTGTTTCTATTTCTATATACCTACTTAGTTAGACAGTAATATTATACTCAGATACTATGCAGATAGAATATTTAGAATATTTTTCTAATGTTTTCCGATTTTCTAATGGATAAATAAGCAGCTGCACAAAAATCTCTGAACAATTTGGAAGTTTCGTTTTTGTTTTTCTCTTTCAAGTCATATTCAACCTATACTGATAACGTACGAGTTTTATCGAATCTATAGTACTATAGTGCCGGTGAGTTTTAGTTTTCTTCGAAAGGAAACTGTACGCCTCTTTTTCTTCTCTTTTTTTATTAAAAAGTCTCTTTTTTTTCAAGAATGCTGGGTATCTTTTTTTCTCTTTTTTTTTACAAAGTCTTGGTGAGATGCCAGATCTATTTCCAAATATTTTTTCAGATGATAACTCTTATCTTTCTCTAAAAGATGACGTAATTTGATCAATAACTTCATATAAGTTTGTTGTAGATACTATCGATTTATAGAGAGTGGTCGAAACTTTTGAACCACCCTTTAGAGAATTTTAACATTAAACAGAGCCTATCTAAGCCTCTTTTATCTTCTCAATCTAAGACGATTCGAGCTTACTCAAGCTTTTTTATATGTTTAGTTTAGGATAATTCGAGCCTACCCAAGCCTTTATCTGTCCCAGTTTGAGCCTACCCAAGCCTACCCGGCTCCAATCTATGGTAGGCTCGAGCCTACCCAGGCCTCGTCGCTCCGCCGCCTATGATCCACACACATGCTTCGAAAAATCAATCAACTATTTAAGATAAGAACTAAACAGTTTGTATTCAATATATTAACATATTGATATTGAATATGAATTGTTATCAATATAATGCATTTTTATTTATCAATCAAGCTGTCTTATTGCTAATGAATGCAAAAAATTACGAACTAGTAAAAAAGAAATAAGAATAAACACAAAGACTAATAATTATTAATTGTTTAGTTGTATATAAACGAGCGAAATTATAATACAAACTTTAAAAAAAAAATAGTAACTGAGCTTGAATACAATAATACTATTGAAAAACAATGCGTTCATATCACAAAAAACAACAAATATGTGCAACTAGACTATAAATATATGTTGTGGTCAAAATTCAAATTCAGTCAAATTTTAAATTTGCCTAGACAAAATTCAAATTTGAATTTTGCCTAGACAAAATTAAAATGCTGCTATAGTCAATGTAGGAAAATAAAATGTTTGTACCTCGACGGTGTGGGTGTGAGGTGTGGGTGTGGGGTGTGGGTGTGAGTGTGGGTGTGGGTGTCGGTGTGAGTGTGGGTGTGGGTGTGGTTCAGCTGAAGACTTACATGGACACCAACACCCACACACCTACATCCACACCCACACACCCACACCCACACCCACACACCCACACACCCACACCCACACCCACACACCCACACCCACACACCCACACCCACACCCACACCTACATCCACACCCACACACCCACACCCCCACACCCCACACCCACACCCTATACTATGGGTTATTTAATTTCAATCTGAATTTAAACAGAAAAAAGAGCACTTGATTTCAAATTGAATTAAGGAACTAAGGGGACTAAGGGGACTAAAGGGACTAAGCGGACTATTCAGTGGGGAAGCGTGTTTCCCCACCTAACACACCTTTTATTTCAGCGTCGCGGCGTGGGGGCGCGAAGCGCCCCCCGAAGAGCCGCGACCCATGCACGTCTCTGTGTACACCATTATTCCTACCCTTAGTTCGCTTAGTTAGTCCCCTTAATCCCCTTAGTCCCTTTAGTCTCCTTAGTCCCCTTAGTCCCTCTGTCTTGGTAAAAATGGGGTGTTGTTTTTTATTCAAAATTCAATTTGAAATAAAAAAAACCCATAGACTCACCCACACCCACACCCACACATCCACACCCCTGTGTAACGAAAACGTGTCCATGCAAAAAAGAAAATGTCTTTTGCTCTACCAAGTGTCATTCAAAGAGGGGTGGCTGCTCAAATATGGACAGGGCTGTCGCGAAGGGTTAAAGATTGGGGGGGGGTTGAAAAATTTTTCGAGTATTTGTCAAAAAATTCTATAAATTATCGGCATTTTGAAAAGAATTTTGGAAATTTTCCAAAAATTTTTCAAGATTTTTGAAATTTTTTTGTGAGTTTTTGAAAGTTTTTCGAAGATTTTTGAAGAATTTTTGAAAATTTTTCGAAAATTCTTCTGAAATTTTTGAGAATTTAATAAGAATTTTTTAAAACCATCAAGCAAAAAAAACAAAATTTCCGAAGGTTGGGGGGTGTGACCCCCCCATCCCCCCGGTCGCGACAGCCCTGAATATGGATTAAATTATTCTAAAACTCACATAATATTTGTTGGAAACTATTGTTAAATAAAAATCTCTTGATATTACAATTGTATGTCTTTCTTCGTCTTCTTTTACTGACTATAACAGCATTTTAATTTTGTCTAGGCAAAATTCAAATTTGAATTTTGACCAATATAATGTTAGTCAAAATTCAAATTTTAATTTTGCCTAGACAAAATTCAAATTTGAATTTTGTCTAGGCAAATTTAAAATTTGACTGAATTTGAATTTTGACCACAACATATATATATATAAGACAACAAATAAATGAATCTGATAAATGATCTATTTAAAATTCGGTCGATTTTCTTTTTGCTTTTTGTATTGCTTCACTCTTTTCTTCAACAGCTTCGGTAACTTTTTTCTTCGTTTGCTTTTTCGATTCTTGAGCATATTCTTTAGTTGCTTCAAGAGCGTCTTCACCTAAAAAGTCACATAAACAACTAGAATGAATTAATGATCAATGTCCAATGATAATGCTTACCAGCGTGTCGACCTGCTTTCAAAGCTTCATTAGCTAAAAATGTATACAAGTAAATAGAATATATTCAAAAAGACACACAAACCTTTATCTCTTCCTAACTCAACAGTTTGTTCAGCTAATTTATAAAAATAATAAAAAAACCTGCTTCATATCAATTACATATCCAAAATAGAGTCACTTACCCAATTTTCGACCTTTTTTAACACCATCAGCACCATATTCAAGTGTAGCTTCATATGCATCTGCACCTACAATAATTAAACAGCAATTTCGTAAAAAAAATCAAAACAAATTTAAATTACCTGACTTTTGCGCAGCTTTCAATGCTTCATTAGCTGCAAATAGAAATATAAGAAAAAAAAGTATTAAAATCATAAGTTACAACAAAACGATAAATATCACCTTTATCTTTTCCAAGTTCAAAAGCTTGTTCACTTAATTTTTGACCTTGTTTCAAACCTTCTTGAGCATATTCTTGACTAGCTTTAGCTGAGTCAGCAGCAAAATTTTGAGCTAAATCAAATCAATATAAAATTCACACTACGATCAAATGAAATACTTTGTTTTCTTTTTTACCTGAAGCTTTAACGTCTTCAGCAACTTTTGCTAATTTTTCTTTTGCTAAAATATCAAATAAGAACTTATGTATCAAAATACAAAAACACTTACCAACATCAGCATATTCATCAGCACGTTTACCTAATGTATGAAAATTTATTTCCATAGGAATCAAAACTAATATGTAAATTCTTACTTCCAGCTTCATAGGCTTCTTCTGCTTTATCTTTTAAATATTCTGCACCATCGACTACTTTTGGTTTGAGAGCATCATATGCTTCACTGGCTTTATCTTTCAGATATTCAGCACTCTCAGCAGCTTTGTCTTTAATATATTCAGTACCTTCAGCAACTTTAGGTGAAACAGTATCATATGCTGTACTAGCTGCATCTTTTACCTGAATATTTCAGCATATATTGAATTGAATGTTTAAAAAAAAGAAATCAATACAACATACTTTTTCAACAACTTTATCTTTGTATTCGGCAGCAGTTTCAGCAGCTTGTTCAGTCTTTGATTTCTCAGCTAATGTAGCCGAGAGAAAAAGAACAACATAAATAATTGATAAAAGTTTGTTCATCGTTATGTTTTTTTTCTGAATCAATAGGTTGATTTTTAGTTAATAAATCTAAATGAAAATAACATATTTGGTGACTACAAGAAAAAAGTTTATGAAAATGTTCGAGTAGTACGCTTATATGACAGAAGTAAAAATAGCATTGGCAAAGAGAACTATACGTGTATGGATCACGTGTTGCAATGACGATAGTAACACGTGACTAATCGTACATCAATTCTCGTATATATTCTAAACTACGACATGCAGTGCGTCTATCAATAGAATTTTTCTTTATGGATAGCGCACTCACTAATCATATGATGTAGTTCCTTTAGGTTCTTTTATATTAATCATGTATCATTATTTTTTATATGAATGATTTATCAAATCCATTTTCTTAACGACCTCTATGATATAAATCTTTAACTAAGCTTTTATTGGTTAATAATTACGTCAGATATCTAGCACTGAATGAAACAAAATAATTGAATTGTTTTATCTTGACGGTTCTTGTTCTTGTTCGATATTATCTTCTTTAACTTGATTATCATTTATTACAATTGTACATGTCACATCAAGAACAAGAGATCTCATTAGTGATTGTCTTATTGATATATTCTAACACACTCGAGGACGTCATTGAGAATACGAAACAATTTTGAAAGTTGAAAATCAAAATATGAATGTAAAAGCGTAGAAGTAAAGCCGAATTGCATTGAATGTTGAAATAGTTTTAACATGTATTTCCACATGATGAAAGGCCTTCTGTTTGGTATAACAAAAGATATACATTTTGTGCGACACTCCTAATTTTCTTAGTGCTGAATTGAATTCTACTTTAAGCCGATATTACGAAAGATGAATTGCGAAATGGTATACTCTAATTTTTCCTTACTTATTTAATTATTATTGTTTACAATTTTTTTTGTTCAAAATTATTAATCCAGATTTTCTTCATCTTCTGATTTTTCGCTTGTGGATTTCGATTTATTCAAAAACTATGGTGTTGACTTGCTAAAAGTACAATTTTCTGATCGGTCTTTATGTAAAAATTAATGAGATCTTAAAAGCAAAAATAGCAGCATTTGTTTCGAACCAGACATTATTTACTTTTACACGATTGAGAGTTTATACTTACGAGTTGCCAGCATCTATATCGTTAAGATTATTATTTGTGTCTACAATGATTCATTTAGGATTGTTGAATTGGCTAGATAAACCCAATTTCAAAAATCTTATTCGTTTATTTATGTTAGTTTACCTGTTCTCTTCCAATATGTTTATTTGATAAAAACTGAAATTTTTATAAAGGTGCAGAATATGCATCAAAATCGCATTCAAACGATCTTATTTCTTCTCAAACGACATCAGAATTGATTATTGTTGCAAACAGTATCAATAAATTCTTCAAAACTTGTATTATTATTTAATCAACGCAGTACTATGCGATTGTAAGATGTTATGTATGTAGTATACTTCTTACTTTATTACGTAATTCCAACGATGACCTTTGTTTCATATGGAAAGAGATGATCTGAAGCAAATATAGTAAATGAAACAATTTTTTAACACTTCTATTTTTGTGATAGGATGTGCTCGAATGAAAACTATTTCGCGTGTTCATCTCAGAACATGTCTAATGAAAAAGGCAATTCATTCACGCTTAACCTATTACTGTTACATCAAACATTATCGTTTACGTCTGTAGAAAACTTTCAATGAAAAACCAAAAACAATGTTATTGTGATTTTTAGTATCATTTGAGACGATATTATGTAGACTTATAGTTAATTTGAGATACGGCTGTGCAATGTTTTGTCTGAGCTTCAATGGATGTGGTCGTATTGTATAGAAGAACACAATAAGTTAAGTAATCACTTCCGAGTTTGTTTTGGTTCATACAGATAATATAAATCGATAGCTTTATGACACATTGATTTTCAGATTAGCTGTGAATCAATACATAGAACATAGTAGATTGCATTAGAAAAAAATGAATCTGATAAAAAAACCGACATTTTTTTATCATTCCATTCACAATCGCGTACGAGTTGAGTTGGATTGCAGAACTCTACAGTAGAAAGCACATGGATAAAAAAAAAGTTCGACCAAATTCTCAGAAAATGATCTTAGAAGTTGAACATTTTAAAAACTCTAATGTGTTTTTTTTTCTGCCAACAACAGCTGATAAGGAAATTTCTCAAATTGATAATCGTCGTTTGAACTCATATGATGTCTACAAGGACGCCTTAATGAGACTATCAAAAAAATCTAAAATAGTTCATCGTCATAGGCTTTTAAGATCAAATTATGATTGTTCTACTAAATTTTCGAATAAACTCAAGCTTTAGATATTTAACGAGAAATAAAACAAGAATAGAATATCCCTTGTTTGAAATTTTTTTCATAGATAAATCAAATGACTAGTAGAATATGCGGGAAGCTTCAATCGACAAGAATGTTATTTTGTTGAGATATCGAGTTTCCAAAAAAATAATCGCTATCCAAAGATATAGAGTTTACTTGAAAATTCAATATCTCGACAAAAAATAATTCTTTACAGCTGCAATTTTTAGAACATTCTAAGGATAATATTTTGTTGTTGCAAAAATATATAATAAATATTACATCATACGAAATATCTTTCATTTGTTTCTTCTCATGTTAACCAAGGGATTTCGTAATATCTATGGATTTAAGATAGATATCACTCTTGTTAAGATGTATGAGATAGTTACTGACAGTTATGATAGCCTCAGACAATCTGAATACTGTTAACACAGTTGGGGTCTTGCTTCTCACGATGATAACAACATTGAATGAACACATCTTCTTTCTATTTGTGCTCAGCATCTATCTGTCTATCTGCGTTGTGATGAACACAAATTGAATCAATAATCTTGTTCATTACTGTCTTCAATTATAATGCTAATGTTGATATTATACGAATAATGGTGTGGCATTTTTGGTTGAATTGCTTTATGTTTTCTTTGTCTATATAGAAACTGAACAGTAATGCTAATCCATCTGTTTATTTCTCAGTATCGATCATAATATGTATATGTTGTATTTAGGAAACATAATTATATTCAATGCATTCATTATACTACAATGTACAAATTTAATACATCATGAACGATTTTGAAAATTGTATAAATCAAGATAAAAACGAGTTTTTAATAACTCATTTTGCAACTCTTTACATCTACTTACCATATAAGTTTAACATTATCATATATCAAAACAAAAAGAATATATGCGTGTATATAAAAAAAAAAAAACAAACAAACCTTGTGCAAAGACTACTACACACAAATTTCAATAAGTATTAAAACACAAAAGCAAGAAAAAAAAACAGGTAATAAGGATAAACGGCAACTCTATACTATATAAGTGAAAAAAAAATGAAAAAAAACGTTTGTTGTTTTTTTTTTGTTTCATAGATAGCATACAATGACAGATGAAATATGTCAAAGATTGTTGATGTTCTTCAATATGAAGACATTCAATGTAACATGATTAAGTCTTTAAACATCATCTGATCTTGATGCCATTAACAATAAAATTGTTAATCCAGTAACAAAAAATACTAAGACAGTTGCAATAATTTCAAAACCAGTAGCCCATCCAATTGTTGTATGAAAATGACTATTAGCAACATTACGCAATTCATTTTCAGCAGCAACATATTTATCATGAGAAAATGTCGACTCTAAAAAGAAAAACAAATTAAGTAATTAAAAAAAAGAATTTATTGATTTTTCTTTTTTTTCTTTTTACCATAACGCTTAGCATAATTACGAAGACTATGTAAATCGAAACCTTGCATATCATTTGCATCCTTTTGTACAGTTTGTAATGGAAATGTATAATCTTCATAGGTATCGCGTCGAAGATCTAGATTCAATATAATAAATAAATATATTTATCTATTGTACAATAACTTACATGCACCAACAAGAATTAATGCTGTACTCATTAAAAGTAATGCCAAAAGAAAACAAATAAATGGTCCAAAACTAAGTACTAATAATGCACTATCTAAAAAAAAAAGTCATAAAAATTTTCGAAATTATATTTTGTAAAACAAGAAAAATTTTTAAATACAAACCATTTTGTGGTGATGTTATTGTTTTTAAATAGAGTGAAAGTAAACCAAGAACAAGAAAAATAGCAGCTAAAACTGTTAACCATTGTAAACCTTTTGCTGATGGTAAATATCGACATGAACAACCTTCATGTAATTTTTCCGGTTCAGCAACTGGACAATTACGACGAATATGATAACATGAATCAAAATTTTCCGGTGAATATCTCATATAACGATTTGGTCGACATATTTGAACATTTGGTCGGATACCAAGTGGAATACCTTGTTTCATTATCGTTATATTCATATATTCACATCTTTGCCAAAGACCATAACTAACTGGTGCCATTGTTGGTTCACGATCTCGTTTAGTTATTTTCCAACGAGGTGAACACCTTATTTATTCATTAAAAGATTAGTTTAAAAATTGAAAAAAAAATAACATAATAAACTTACATAGCCAATAAATGAAGAACTAATGCAGCAATACCCAGAAATAGGGCTAATGTTACAAGTACAACACCACGAACTTGCATGATCTATTTTTTTTTTTTTAAAAAAAAAAAAATTCGATATTTTTTATTGGAAAAAAATTTTTCTTTTTCAATTACACAAAAATATATGAAACACTCATTGACAATACAAATAACAAAAGAAAATACGTTTGATTTTAATTTTTTTTTTTTGAAAATTTTTACTTACTTAACAATCGAATTAAAAATTATGAATAAATAATAAAACAATCTAAAAAAACAGAAATGAGAAAATGGTTAATTCAGTTGACATTTAAATGTGCGAACTGAATTGTTCGACTATATGCTCAACATATAAATCGGTCAAGATGTTGCCTGAAAGTATCTATTAAACGATTCACATCTCATTCAACTATTCTCATGTTTCTTTCTTCGAGCTGTGCATGTACATATACAAA